CGAGGGAACACGAAATAAATTATTTCACGTTGAACTTCAACTTGATCTTTACACTAGTAACTAACTCTCCACGGTAAACACACTTATGACAGCAACCAAATTCAATGTATTATGATGTTTAGGGGGTGTTTTACTGTTTGGTCTAAGGACCAAATGAAACCCATAGAGAAGCTATGTCGGCAACACGCAGATCCGTCGTTACTTCCCAAAGTGTTAAAAATAACCGCTGTATATACTTCATCAGAACGTCTCACTTCTCTTCCTGATCGCCTACAACTGTTGAAATTTACAATAATCAGTGTCAACTGTTGTGTTTGAGGCCCAACGTCAGGTGGAATCGTATTCTCGCGAGAAGCTTACAGAGACGTTATTTATATATCTCTGAACATATTAAACAAATATATTCATGTTTTAAAGTTTAGATCTGTAATACCTGTATATGGCGAGTTGGCGCATCAGCATACTTCATTTTGTCTGATATGTACTGTTATCAAATCGAATGGAACGGAACACTGACCTGGGGTAAGCTGGAGGCGCGCCTTCAGCTCGTCATTGGACGTGTGGCCACTACTGCTACTGTCCACGTCAGAGACGCCGGAATCCGCAGGGCTGGGTGGTAGAGAGCCTGAAACAAAGGAGAATCGCGTTTAGTACACATGGTGGAAAAGAGATAAGCAGATAGAGTGCAGAGAGAACAAGGAACTTAACAAAGGAAGTCAAGGAATGAAAGGGAAAGAAAGCCAGCTGAAGATGAGTAGAACTTGAAATCGGCACATCTGCCGTGACGCAGAACACGAGAACGGAACAGTCCTCACTCTCCCAACATCTACATAGTTGCTACATCGTCACTCTGCTCCTAGCCACGTTTCTGTTAACATTATCTAGCAGTACCGATGTTTGGGCAAGTCCTCCTTGAGCCATGCCGATTTGGCAGCGATGCTCTTGAGGAATCACTGTGCCATCATTTCGGGCGGGGAATCCCTGCCTACAATGCACCGTACCAACTCTAGAGAGGCCTGGGACACGGTGGATTACGTACTTTGAACATTTTCATTACGTTTCGAGTATGTACCGCCCTCTTTCTTTCCTGCCAATTGCGACTGACTTATTTTGCTCCAGCTGTACTGGTCATATCACGCGCAGCAAGAACTTCTGACTTGCGTTTTTACACAGACCGAAGAACCTGTATTAAACATACAACTGCCCGAAACGGAACGCCATTCTGGTCCACTGGGACATCCTTAGACGCAAGGTGCTTCTTATATAGGAAGGATGTTTATATTACAGATGAAAATGCTTAGGAAATTAACATCCATCGGCGCTGGTTAACAGAGCGGTGTTTAACTCTGTGTGACAGACATTTCAGTGTTAGACAGAAACTGGACAAATTATTTAAAGAAAAGAACATAACGGTAACAAGGAAGGTCACAGGTTATATTTCAGGTCCACACGACAGCGTGAATGAAGATAAATGTTTTCTGGAATGCTGCGCCATGCCAGTTGGAATATTGTATTAGCGTGTGGATTCAATTAAACTGGTTCTCGAAAGGGTCCAGTGTCAGGCTCTTTCAAATAGGATTCCATATTAGCAGAGGATTTTCAGAGAGAGAGTTGAAGATCTTGAGTCATTGCAAAATAAAATAAGTCGATAAATGCGACAGCAGCGTTAGTGCTTATGCGGGCCATAATTCGCTGTAACAACGTTTCAGAAACACTGATTATAAATTATTTTCAAAAAGCCAGGAATATTCGTAAGAAGTAGAGTCAACTGCACCACTTCTATCATCACAAAGACACGCAGAAGCGGTCAAGCAAGCTGCACGCTCGAAGCGTGATTCGAACCAATGATGACACCGTTCGAGACCATTTGCATTCAATCAACCACCGAGGACAGGCCTATTGAGACCCACAAGTGGTCAGTTACGCAACACAGGCGCATTGAGAGCATTGACTGCACTAATCCCCCACCAATAAGCGTCAGAGGTCGTGATAAAGTTGGCCTTATCGCCAGCTAAAATCTTTTCTGAACCTTGCTATTTCCAGACATGAAACTACGACATCTGAGGAAAATGGTCTCTCTACGTTTTGAGTCTGTAGCAAAATATTCAGTATTCAAATATACAAACCTGTTATTTTAAACGACAGTGAAATTGGTCTCTCATCGTACGGAATGGCCGTGGACTGAGGGTGTCAACGAATCAAATGATACGAACACTCGGACCGAAGAAACACCAAGTAACGAGGCACTGAAGAAAACTAAGTAATGAGGAGATTCGTAACTTGTAAATAGGGCGACCACATCAGGAAGAGATTGGCGGAGAACGTAGTTTGCGTGAAAGATAAGAGAATGCATGGAAAATGGGCCGGTACACCTGAAGGGAAATACCATTTGAGATATTTCGACATCATAACTTACAGCGGCGTATTTCTGGAGTGCCCGTAGGTTAATTTAGTTTCATGTTGAACGCAACGGATCAAATAGATTCATTTAATTATTCTCCTTTTAGATTAAACGCGGGATTCCAACTAACGGGAGCTGAATTCAATCCACGACGGCATTAAGAAACTGGGGCAATTTTTCTTTGGCTTTCCATGACAGCTGTCACTTCACTGCCCTTAGCTGTGCGTCAGGCCCGACCAGCCAGCACGGTCGTCAATTCGGACTCACTTCTGGCCCGACATTTAGTCGTACTGACGTAACAAGGATTTGACTAAATATAATTAGAATGATTTGTGTAATTCTATTAACATATCCTATACTTATAGCATTTTGTCGAAAACGAGAACAGAATGAAGCTAGCCAAACACTTAATAAAGTAAACCAACAACAAACTAAAGTTCATCATCAATCTGCAGTTGTAAAAAGTCCTATCTGAGTTGACAGTCTGCTGTTTGTGCGCCATTAAATCCAGCGGCGCCTGTCTCAGTACGACCTTGTCCCTGTACTATCACGTGACAATGTGACCCCGACCTTGCTTTTAATAGGAGCAGCTGTGAAATGTTCGACAAACAGCAAGGGTTAACGCCCTTTACAAAATAAGCAACCGTGTTTGCGAAAAATGAATGAAAAGGTACTTCCATCTGTCAGGTGTCGTCGGTACAATGGCGGAGATGTTTGCAATGTTACGAGGTCGGGCAGATGGTTGCGTACATTTTGTGGTACAAATATGTGGGGGTTGCGACAGATGCATCCACCCTCCGCTGCAAAATATTACAACCCTTTATTTACAAAGACCGTGTGTTAACTGATGCAAACAGCTCACAAACATCTCCGTTTTCATGCACTTACTGGATTTGTCCTACGACCCATAACAAAATAATTCACTTACGGAAATATTCCTCTTACAGACAAAAACCTACTATTTAATAAACGAACTACGTACAGCATAGTCGTGCTTAAGAAGTTGAGAGTGGCTCAAATGGTCACCTTTCAAGGAACCCAAAGCTTCATCACTGGGCATTGACATTCCGCCCAGCTATATTCCACGTGAACTGGCCTGGCACTGAACTAGATCCTCCGTGGTGTTAAGCCTGGGTTATGGGACGCGCAGGTTTACGCAACACCGTCCATATACTTTTACTAATTGGGACACTTTGACGGGTTAGTTCGACTTCTGATGCGGTTCCATCAGTGCCTAAGCATGACGCCAGCAATGGAATTCGTGCTAGTAGATCCCCCTCCCCCAATGTTCTGTGTTTCAAATCCAGAACTTCCTGACGCAGTCACTGGTACAGATTTCTGGACCCCCAGTAGTAATCACCAGACTGGTAGAAGAACGTTCCGCGCGCAACGAAATGAACAGCAGGCGACATAAATGTTGTGGCTGTTTTCCTCCGCGAGACGTTCAAAAACACTAACTTGGCCCTAGAAAAATAATCCTTCATTCACATAATCATTGAATTTCCTTTTATATTTTTCCTACCAAACTTTCTTTTTCTTTTTAATGTCCTTTCGTACGCTTTGTAGGCAATGTAAGCTGTGAAGGAGACATTTCATTTTATTATACATTTCACTGCGTTCGATACGGCAAACGCTATCATTGATAAAATTCTGTGCATGCCTAAAATAAAGCTGACATGAAGGAATCTTTAATTATGACTGCCAAATAATTAAGAACTGCGTTACGGCATTTACAAAAAATCACTGAAGAAGACGTTCACATCGCCAGGAGTTTCCGATTAAACCCGCTTACTGATGGCGGAAAACGGAAGTTAATTTGGTGCACTTCCTGGGTACTTGTGGGCCGGACTCCTGTCAGCTTCAACAAATACGTAGTCGTTTTTAGGTATGGCGGGATGCTTTCGGTTCACTACGAAAGGAACAACGCCGAGCAGACAAGAGAAGACAAGACGGTTCGGGGAAAAAAACGTCTTAACTGGCGGCTGTCTACACTGAACAAGCAGTAGAATACAAAAGTCGGTCACGTTCTGGTCAGCAGCTCCCGACAGTGTCGCGTGACGAAGAAAGTGCTGAAGAAATATGGTGGTTTTTAGAAACGAGGTCAGAGAGGACCTAAAAGAGTCTTTGGATTCATTCTCGTATTAAGAAGAGGACAGCAGAGGGTTTATTTCTTGCTTCATGGCTCAGCAGCTATAGAAATTTTACTCTCATGACACCACAAACTTCTGCTTGTTGTAGACATCGGAGTAAGAGTCATGACGCGCCCTATTCGATCAGCGAGGGCAGCCTTGTTTAATTCTTCACATTCTTCAGCACCAGACGTGTTTGACGCTGTTTCGAACACTTTCGTCTTGTTTTGGCTGCTCTGTGTGCGTGGTTTCATTCTATAAATACGGCGCGGCCCCTTATCAACGTTGCTATGGCGTTCTCTTTATCTGAAAGTTCGTTTTTCATGTCCAGATTTGCATTTCATCCAATATACTTCCCATCACGTACCCGGCCCTGAGGCCTACCGAGGTCGTTTTACTCAGGGGTAAAGCTGACAAAGCGTGAAGCTGACCACCAATCTTCATTTAGTGCCAAAGGTATATTTCCACTCCTCAATACGTCATAATGACATGGCGCTCAATGACGTACGGGAACAACTTTCCTTTAATTTTTAAAGGGAGTAATAATTAAGAAAATGGATAACTTTACTTTCCCTTTTATTGTGTGTGTGTGTGTGGGGGGGGGGTAAAGAAGCCAGAGTGTGAAGCTGAAGACACGTCTTCTTCACTTTTATCTCCACTTTAAGGCGTAATTATGAGGCCCTATGGAATGTTTATCAATTAAATTAGCAAATCATTTTAAACAGTGCTGCTAATATGGAGCCGTTCTTGCATATTTGCTGTAATTGCATGTCACTCTGAAGCCAGAGCTCAACTAAATATTAATTTAAAATGCAGTTCCTACAGCACAGAAAACACGTCTCCATTTAAAAAATACCTAGGTCAATGGTATATAAGGAAATAATAGCTGTTTATTCTAAGGAATACACGAAACCCATAAACACACCGTCGGCAAAACGCAGAAATACTGAAGATTAAAGTAAATGACACATAAAATTGCCACTGGGACTTAAAAGAATATTAGACGTGTGCATCACACATTTCCCTGGGAATGGTTAATGCTGTGTAGAGCTGTTAACCGTTGACAAACAGAATCGAAGCGTCTTCAATAACGTGCAAACGGAGGGTTGGAGGTTCCATTAGTGGCCCGCCAACGTGTGGGAACGCACGGCAGACTAGATGATGTTTTCTTAAGCAAAACCGGATGAACCTCTCCGCCGACATTCCGCTTCCGACTCGCAGCAACGGTCAGCGCTGACCCCTCAATACATAATGTCACGATTAATGACCAGCAGGGTGAAGGGTCAATCTGAGACACCCGCATTAAGTACGGAAGGCTACCCCAGTGAATGGACGCAGCCCCTAACAGCACGAGGGTAGCTTCCTCAGCGAGGATCCGTTGAGAAATAAAATAGTTGCTCTTGAAAGGATTAAATGGACAGAGCGAAAAAAAAACACGTTTAGGACTCCCCGGTTCTGGAATTATTATGGGGCGACGAAGTTTAATGATGGACATTTAAAAACTTCGGTTGCGTCGTGATACAAAGAGGGACGTTAAAATTACATACATTTTTCTGAAGCTCATAACAGATTTCATATTAAGCATCCAGCCTGAACTCAGAGCGCTATATCCTTTCATTCAACTGTTTGCCTGCGATTTATAATCTACAATCGATTTGTGTAACACTCGATCCAACATATGACGGTTTAGATGCATCGTAATCCAGAAGCTTTAAAATTTAATCTTTACGCAGATCAACAAAATTACATAACTGCACGTGAAAATGACGAATTAAACGACCCGAAACGCAGCTGTGCGTATTTCTAATCAAGATATTTCTTGAATTCAACCCCAGAGATTTAATTTGTCGGTATTTATAAAAGTCTATTTCTTCAACACCAGAATTTATTTCCCTTATGACCTACTTAACTAAGATCTACTTTCTTGTTGTCCTACAACCTTTTTATTGTCTTCGAAATGGCAGTTTTCCAAAAGGTTCCCTTCGGTCCATCTTAAAGTCATAGATTCACTATCTTAATGATACCGGATGGAGCTAATATGTAATAGGAATAGCATCCATACTTAAATATGCTCCTCGATATGCAATATTCTAAACTGTCCACATATTCCGTTCTTCTTGATCAACATATTTCTTTGCGTACTGTTTCCACACATTTCTCGAGGTAAGAGACAACCCATACAGACCAAATGGCGAAGTATTATACTCGTATGTCATGGCGCTCTCAAAGCAGATGGTATGGGTTATCAGTTGCTAAACTCAATAATTAAAACTTTTTTAAAAAAATTATAAATTTCTTAATTCTATACACAAATTTTGTTCCTATTTATTAGTCATGTTTCGAGACAAATGACCAGAGGTAATTCTCCCAAAATAAACGGCATATTAGATGTTTGTTTCTCTTTTTTTCCTCAACAATCTGTATCTTCGATTTCATGCTTTGTTCCACCACGTTTGTTTCGAAATGAACACAGAGTATGACGATGCATTTTTTTTCATAAATATCAGTGAAGCGATTCGAAAGTCTTCATGACCGATTTAAAATTTAATTTTCTTTTCTGTGGCCAACCTCCACTACGTATTAGACCTAATTTCGATTTTCGTATGTTTCAATTAAATAACGGAATATTAAGTGCGAAACTTAAACGGTATAGCTAACTTTACTAACAATATGTGACAAAGATGCGTGCAGCTACACAAACTGGGTTGCCTCGACACTAGAAACTTTCGCGGCCATCGCTTTGGTTTCTGCTCACGCGACACCAAGAATCTAGAGTGGCAAAGAAAGTAAATTTCGCCTTACAAACATTTACATCGACCAGTAGTTATAACCTGTAAGATCCGGACCTGCGAATGCGTCTTGTGTGTTAACGATGTAACTGAAATACGGTTACAGTCACAAGGGTGTGAAAGACGAGAGTCACGAAACAGACGTTTAAAAAAACACTTTTTTACTTTTTACGCAAATAGGTGAAACCACAAACACAGTCTTAATTCCATTCGAGCACTCCTAATGACTTCCACTGTAGCTAACTAACGTTACTCTTATATTGTCAATATGATTTTTCACGCCATGTGGCAATTTATCTGCCTCTACTAACTCCAAGGGGCTGGGTTTCTTGAGAGGCTGAGTCTCTCACATGGTCAATAAATTCCTCGATTTTTATGGAACCCAAAGGTTCACAAAAGCTTACTACTAGACCCTATTACGAAAGAACTGAATCTAGAACCACGCCCTCAGAGCCAATTTAAGATCAATTTGTAATAGTATCATCCCATTTAAGCCTGGGTGTTTTGAATCAGTCATTATCCTTAAGGTTCTCCAACTATAGTTCTGTATTTCTCATTGCATTCCTCATCTCCCTTGGTAGGACTGATCTCTCCTAAAGAAATTAATTTGTTCGACACATGTGGAAGCAGTGGCACTGAACAGACAGGAACCTTCTTATCACAAAATTTACTTCGTCTAGGTTAAAAATAGAACGTTAACTTTTCAACTACTCGTAGGCCTATTATAATTCCTAGTTGCCGTCTTCATACCAGAGAATGTTTTCTAAATTAAAAAAACCTTTGCGTGTATATTTTACCTTCCTTCAGCTTACCTGTGAAAAATCTCTCAGGTCTTCCACTTCTCTAAACATGGTAAGACGTCATCGAACTACCTGAAAGACTCGTTTTCCGTAAAAATTACATTAAATTGCGAAAACCGCGAGGGAAAGCGGGCAACACGAGTATACAACTCTATCACGTGACAATCCTGATTGCCTCTAATTATCGGCCACCCGCCGTCTTCTTTGGATCCTAGATCCAATGTAGCATGAAGAAGGTGCATATGTCCTAGAAAGTCGTATTCAGCAGTAAAGAACGCCCCGACAATTGGCCGAATCTATACACAACAGAGGATGATGGCATTCAAAATATTTGTATATACGTCTGGGATCCTGTCCTATCAATGTATAATAACGTCATACTGGGATCCTACTGTAAC